ACTTCCACTGTTATTATTTGGGGGGGTGGGGGGGGCAGGTATGCAGGCCTGCAAGAAGCACTGAGGCTAAATGCATGTCTGAGTGGGAGCTCAGTCTTAAACCCTATTTACATAATTAACTTACAGTCACTTTTGCTCTTTTGCAATTCCTCCTAGGAATAACAGACAGCAGAGCCCATCAACCCAATCAGTTTTTCCCGCTCCTACAGACATGTAGATGTAATTTAAAGGGTCTTTGTGGATTCATGGAGGGAACCATGATTAAGTAGCATGTATTGTGCCACAGATGTCCAAGCAAGGAATTTACAGGTATTGGGATTTATAGGATATTGGGAAGATTTAAAGTTAATTAATGCACTCATGGCAGTCTGTAATGTTATCGTAATTTAGTATTTTTACGGATGTACCTCTCTGTCTCTTCTTGAAGAGTTTCAGTACCTAGGTGGAGACATCAAAGCAGTTGTTGAAAGAGAGTGCAAACCATGAACTGCACTGGTGCAAATACAGTTGCTTACAGGTTCTGTATTGTATATTACAGAATATTACTTAACCACTATTAAAAATTCAAAAACCTCTTTTTGCTCAGTTGTTTATTTTTACAGGTGCAAAGGAGCTGTATGACTGAAGTAGAAGCTTTCATTCCCTTGTACTGTTGTGTTCAAGCTTCTGATGCACACTATTTCTAACAGACCTGAAACCACTTAAGTGAAACACTAGCCTGCCAGGAACTGAGGCAGAGGTGTGTGGGAATAGGTGAAGGAGACACACCAGCCCAGCCAATTGCTCAAATTAATGGTAAATAAGCCCAGCATTTTAGGACTTTTGTAAGCAGCTCACCACGAGCTCCAGCTAGCACCAATGACAGTTACTAACATCCTACTGGAAAAAACACTGGACCCTTTTTATTAGGTACCAACATTTCATGGCTTTTGGTTTAACTCAAAAGAACAAAGCCTTAACAGTTCTGGGGCAGGTTTTCTCCTGAGCATTGAGCTCTGCTTGTTAGGGGAGAGTAAGCACAGAAGCTGCAAGGAGCCAGTCATAGGTCCTGGATTCTAAGGGTCAGACTGTAACAATTCCAGTGGAAATTAAAGCATCCTAGGAACCAACAGTGTGGAGAACCAAACTCTGTCCTACCTCACTTCCACCTCCGCCCCCCGCAGTCCTGATCCCTGACATCCCTTACACCATTGTTCCTGCCTCCAAAGTAACAGCTGCCTGCAAGCTTTACATCTGCAGAGTTCCCATCATCCCAAGAGAGCTGTCAGCTAGCTAGTTATGGTTAGATTGGTTTCCATTGTAACACCACTGTAAAGGTGTGCCAGAGATTGTGGCTATATCTTTTGTTAAAAATTAAAAATCCTTTTATTAAATACTGAATGGAAGGAATTCATTTGCAGAATTGCCATAATTATATTTTCACAATATTGGATTTCACCTCTCTCTCAAGTATCAGCAATTTCCAAGAGGTTTCCAATTAGTCTTTCCACTGGCAAGTTTTTATTTACAAACCATTTAATTCATTTCAACTCCCTCCCTTGCATTCATTAGTTCTTGCTTCATCCTAGTTTCTGAGCTAAAGCATGTCTGCACAACATCTTGTTACACCATAACTCTGAGAAGCACCCTGTCATAAATTACGCTACTACGAGGTAATTCCATTTTCCCATTCTCCATTATAGTAGCAGAGACAGACTTCACATAAATTGGTGGCAAAATTATCTGAAGACTGCAAACGACGTAAGCAAGCATTCACAGAAAGTTTCTTTACTAGTTCCTAAGATTTAGTATGCTACTCCACGATTAGGAGACCAAGTCTAGTTTTTGAATGGCAGCAGTTATGCCCAAAAGTGCCATGTGTCACATTTAATTTTATGCACGTGCCTCTTTCAAACTGAGACTTACCATCACTGCTTCCTCTGAGTACTACATCTGGAGATGGTGTCTGCTGTGAGCGGGAGCCAAAAGAATCCAGACTGTCAAAAGAATCATCTCTGCCGTGGCGAGGCGGGGAGAGGGAATCACTGCGTTCAGAGTCCCAGCAGTCTATGTAACCGCTGTCACGAATGCTGCGTTTGGGGCTCTCGATATCCTCCGTTTCCTACACAGAAGCACAGAAGGCATCTCGTCAAAAAGCAGCTGCTTACATACAAATGAGCTTCATTATGCATCTGATAAAGTGCCTTCCTAGTGCACTAGAATCTCCTCCCTCAGAAAAAAGCTTTTCCCTTTCAAATCAAAGGCTTAAGTAGAAACAACATCTGATTTTGTGCTGATTAAGGGGAAAACCACACTTCTTAGATCAGTACAGTTACCTGAAAGAAAACTGTAAGAGGCAGGTTAATAAATTTAATCAAAACTGAAATAAACCTGAAGCTTGACTTGTCCTCCACAGTCCATAGCACACAGGCAAAATCATTAGAAGTTTAACTTCATGGCCATACTGGGTATAAGAACACTTTTTTCCAAATGCAATCCCCCGGATCTGTCTACTGTATCTGACTAGGACACCAGCCAACAGCATTTGTTGTTGTTGCTTCAGCTCAACAAAATAATGAAGCAGTGTGCCCCAGCCTCCCTCTACCTTGAAGAGAAATTCCTGTTATGAAAGAGGGATGTCTTTCTGAAGCAATCAGCAATGAAAAATATGCAAAATGCTTTTCCTGATGCCTCAGAAGAATTCAGTTGTGCTCTTTAGTCTTTGCCAGCTCCTGGCTCTGGGGGATATGAAAGCACTTGTAGCTGACCCACATGTTCAGAGCAGTGAGAACAATGGTGGTCTTTGACAGCCCTGTGATTATAAATTCTTTCCAGTGCAAGCAGCACATACTAAAACACTGAAACTCCAGCAGAGGAAAAGGTCAATGGAAGCCATCCTCACCCTAGCATTATAATAAATCCCTTGTTTCAACCAGTGTCTTACCATTAATTACAATAGCATAGGCTGAGAAAAACAAAAATAACTACTCTTGCTCAAAGATAAACCTCTGCTTTTTTCCTCCCTCAGACTAATGCTGAAAAATCAGAGATGAGGGAGACAACATCAGACTGACAGTTTGGAAATCTGAAGAGACTGGAATGCAAAACTTTTTCCTGAGCCATTTAAACATTGATTTTCAATTAAAAACACTTATATGCCAGAGTTAGTGCACAACAGCTGAGCTAAGAACGGTTCCTATCCCTTCCACAGCTCCTACTACCATTATTAGTCCTGCTAAGCAGATCAATCAACAACACAATATGATGCTGCAAATAACCTTCTCAATGAAGAATGTCTGGAGAAGCAGCTGCCAAGAAAGGGGGTAAAATACCACATGAAAGCTCCACATGCAAAAGGTTGGAGGCTCAGAAGAAAAAGTAAGATCAATAACTAATGTCCTGTAAACTTCTCAGTAAGAAAGTTAATTAGTGCTACTGCACAGTTTGCTGCCAAATACAAGCATGCATGAGAGCAAAGGTTCTTTAAGGCCAATCTAAGCCACCATAATGTGAATAAAATAGATACAGCACCAGAGTAACACTTGGGTTAAATTGTTTTAAAAAAATTAAAGCCAAACTTTAATTTAACAAGCAGCAATTTAAACCTCTATTTTTTCTCTCTCATTCCTGCCTATTAACAATATACACAAACAAAAATGCCACCAAGAACCATCATACAAATTTTAAGAAAAGTCTAGCTTTGCTGTATCAATTATACAAATGAAAGAACTGAACAACCCTGTTCAAATCCTTTCGTCTGTTTTTTCCAAAATGATCCAAAATCTTTTCCTAAATCCAAATGCTTTACAGCTCCTCATCTCTACATACCAAGCAGCTACATTCAATCCTCCAGCACATTTCCATTTTAAAGTAACGTGTTTGATTGTCATGGAAACGCTGAAACTGCAGCGAGGATCGAAATCAGATGCACTGTTCTGAAGTACAAATTGAAAAAGCCATTCTTCATTCACAATGTTTTAAAGTTTGAAACACCTTTAAAACAATGTAAGTGTGAATTTTTGGAACCCTCCCCCCATTTTCATTAGTCCGTTAACATTAATTCAGTTTATTTTTTATCTGTAACTCACCAGGAATTAAGTGGGCAAAGGAATAAGCCAGACTGACAAGACAGATTCTTGTAATTCATATGTAAACATGTCCTGCTTAGCTCTCCCCTTGGCATCTCATTCACCCAATAGATTTGTCTGATAGATATTTTTTCTAATTCTGAACATGTGTGTTATCTATTGGATTGCACCCACTCTAAGTTTATTATTTACATCTGTATTGCAATACTTTGTGAAGAGATAATCTTATAAACTACCACAATGCACTGGTCTAGCAGGCCCATCTGGTAAAAATCTCTGCATAACCATGTGGTAGTAAAAGTATAACAATTACCATATTTTAAATACATTTGCAAAACATTCTACATATTTTTTCAAACTGCTGAATATATTTAGCATATTATGAATTAATCATTTAGCCTTCAGTTTAAAAGAGTAGAAGAGTTTATAATAACATGGGTAAAATATCAAAAATAACACCTGAATGTCTTAAAAATAAGACAGGGTGGTTCACTCAGTAAGGGACTGAGGACAGCATGCATTTGATTATGCAAAAAAAACTTACCATAACTGGGTGTAATGGTGGTAATTACTCATCCTGAACCCTCACTTGTTGTCAGTGCTATTAAAATTTAGTGGAAACAGACTGGCAGAGAATGTGGTTTACTGTTTATAAGTTGTCATCTAAGCAACTAGCCACTGTCAATGCACCAGAATGCTCCAAAGTATAATTAAAATGTTTCAACTTACAATAAATATCTTTTAAAGTAACACAAAGAAGAATCTATATGGATCAGAGGGGAATCTGGGATGGCCAGTGACTTTTGCAATAGCACCTTCCATACAGTCACCTATGAGGGGATACCTCATCTTGGCTGTAGTTTCTACTTTTCCAGTGCATAACATTCAAGCTTCTTGCTTGTCTTCTACCTACAGAATTCTACCCCCCTCTGCTGAGCTTGGCTAATGATACTAGCCACTCTACACTTTTATCTTCTCATTCCACAAATGTTTCTGGACTTTATTCCAAACTGCCTCCTTCACAAGAGAGAGGCATTTTTCCTTGAGTCAATCCATATGTTACCTTCTCCTCTTCCAAATTTCCCTCAGTGTCCCTTCTTCTGACCACAGAAAGCTAGACAATTAGACACAGCTTACCAGAGGAGGAGCAGACCGTAGATTATACATGATAAATACAAGCATGAATAAACTGTGTCATGAAACACAAATGACATGTACCAAACCATACTTTGACTATTCTGCTTTTGTGTGTTAGCCTACTTCCTCTCCATCTGGGGGTTGGTTTGTTATTCTTGGGTCTTTCAGAGGGCAAATCCTTCAGATCAGGACTACATTTTCCCTCCTGTGTCTCCACACTACTGAATATATTTGCATCACTACCACAAACATAAAAGTAAATAATAATGAGATTCAGTTTGTCACATGGTTCATGAGTGATTCATGCAGGACGTTTCAAATGAAGGTTAATAAATCTTCGCTGCTCACCCCATTGTCAGGTATGCAGCACAGAGAAAATATATCAGAGAAAAACAAGAGGATTTTTTCATAGAAAATATTTCAAAACTTCTTCAGGATTATTTTTTGTAAAGCCAGATGCTTCAATTACCATAAGCCCTCCTACGCAGAGTTCAGAGGACATTCTCCCTCCCCTAGAGAGTGAGCCACGAGTGATTTAGAAACAGTTTGAGATCTCATGTCCTTTCAGGGAAAGGATCCAGCATTGGGTATGACAGAGTGATGGTGCTGGTTCTCTACCTTCCTCTGTCTCCAAACTTTATCTCCACAAGATCATAAGATAATAATCTGAAGCCTTGGCGTTTTTATGCACAGTAAAGGAGTATAGGACTTAATATACCTAGTGCTTATATCTGACACTTTTTTGTGGGTGAGCCAAGGTGGAGGGGAAGAGGAAAAAGGAAGAAAACAACTCTTTGAAAGGCTGATGTAATACAAACATTATTCTTAGAAACTGCTCAGGATTTTAGAACGATGGATAAAATTCAGGACAATGGATAAGCACTCTCAGTAATGTAGCTGAAGACATCTTAAATTTAATCTATTCCATTTATGTAATTTACATGTACACAATGCAGCTATTGCTTTATGGCTGATTTCCCTTGGCTCATTCTACCCACCCTCCTGTGCATGCTTTCCACCCCCACTTTTTCTTCTATACCTCCCCCCAAAATAAATAGACAATTTTTTTCTCTTAACTTATTCCTCTGGCTAGGTTCACACAGCCAGTAGGCTCCCCTAAAGAAGATGGCTCAAGGAGGAAGAGAATCAGCTTATCCTAAAGCTTTGTCATCCCACTAGAAAGTACAGGAAAGTAGGAACTACTGCATGTTGGCCAAGTGCATTCCTACTCTTCAGGGGTATAATACAGGGGTATAATTTCCTGGATCTGCCAGCAAGACAAACAACAACAGGGAGCAATGAGTCAAGAGCAATGACTAACTGATCATGCTTACAAGCTGCCAACTGGAAAGAGATAGACTACCATATACCTTGTAAGCCAGGTAGAATAAGTGTCTTTTTTTTTTTTTTTTTTTTGAGGTAATGGATGAAAAAAATGTTCTGTGCTAGAGAAGGCACAGTCCCCATATGTGGTTAGTGAGTTAATTACTGTCAAGGTGACCCCAGCACAGCTTCAGACTCAGTCCAGGAAGGTGTACCAATATTCGCTACAGCTCAGGGTAAATGTCCTAAGCCTTGTTTCAGGGGATTGCTTTGTGCTAGCCAGCATGACACAGCTGACCTGTAGGAAGAGTGATCATTATCTGCACTGGCCTCATGCTAGCAGCAAGACCTGAAGGGTCTGCAAACCAATCCCCCAATCCATTTTCAGCAAGTATTTAGAATTTGGCAAATGCAGATTATCAAAGTTCTCTTGCCTGTGAAGCATATACTCATTCCCTCCCCAAGCCTCTGTGGCTTTATCTGTCTACTGAAACAGTATATACTTTGCTTTGAACGTTGTAATGAAGCTGAAAACAGGATAAGGAAAGAGCTATCCATAAAGCTTTATGCTAAGACATCTTTTCTTTAAGCTGATCTTCCTGGGCTAGGCAACTCTGTACTGCTAACTTTAGTTACTACTTGCAATAAACTGGCACATTCTTTTAAAGTAAGTTGCATACAATTTCCCATCTTCTTCCATCCATCCTTCTCCATTCAACTGGTAATGGACAACTTAATTTCCCATGAATGGCAAATTCAGCTTGCTATACACAACAAATTCCTGGTCAAGAGCAAACTGCTCATCCACCTGACTCTTCCTGTTCCTATGACTAGTCAAGGGTCTGCTCTATATATTAGGGCAATGCAGAGCACCGCGAACTCTGAAAGCTGAGGATGGCTGACATTTTAAAACTGAGACATAAGAGTCTAAAAAAAAATATGAAAATTAAGGTATAATTTTCAAGTCCTTTGTTGGCAACTGCTGCACCTTTAATCCTACCAGTAAAAATCACCTGCCAATATGTATTAACATTTTAGTACTTCCAAAACGTTACTTAGGAACTCATTCAATAGCCCACTATTCCTACTCTACTTCCACAATAATGGACACTAAACAGAACTTTTGTGACATATGAATCTTTAACCAATGAAAAGCTAATGTGCATTCATCAAAATGAACAAGAATTACCTTTCTCATCTGTGCCAGCAATCCTTCAAATTCCCTCAGGTTCAGTGCTGCTCCATTATACGAAGTGCAACTGTTTGCTGCTTTCCCCAGCCAATAAATGGTGACTAATACCTGCAGAAGTTAATAAGCTTTAATTGAAGCCATGTACCCAATTACTTTCCTTAATTTACTTTTCCTAAGTATCTCTAATTAATTTCAAATTACACAGAATAACTGGCAGAGTTGAGGATCTATTAGAGATCTGAGTTCCAAGTTTTACATAAGGACAGATCTGTCAATAATTAAAAGTAAATATGAGGCATTTATCAAAGGTAAAATAATACTAGAGAATTTGGTGCGACACATTACAGCTTAATGAAAAATGTATAAAAATTTAATATCATGTAATGTCTGGCTGGAAAAAGGTAGCAGACATAAATTTCACTGTTAAAAAACTGCAGCACTCAAATGTGCTACGCAAAGAGAGCTCTAAAAGAACCACTTTCTAATAATGCAAGTTGCTATTACTTTTACATTTTTTTTCCATGACATTTTCACCTGTTTAATTCCAACACACATGACAGCTTGATTCACAAAAGATTAGTTTAGTAGAATCACAGGAAAGCAAGGCTGGAAGGGGCCTCAGGAAGTCATACAATCCAACCTTCTGCTCCATCATCCTTAACTAAACCATCCCAGCATTTGTCTAGCCCAGTGAACCCTGGAACTGGGGAGTGCCTAGGCTGCTAAGATTGAAGCACAACATTAGTACTGTTAGGAGTGCAAACACCCATGCATGTTTCATAAGATAAATGCAGAGATTTCAAATAGGATTGCATAGTTAAAAGTGTTCTCTTTCTGAGTTTCTTTCCAACAAAATAACTGCTTCATTCTTCTTCCATAGTTAAAAAGAAAGTGAAGCCTAGGTGGTGCCTTGAATCTAACAAGGGATGCTTCGAGTCTAAAAAAGGTTGACAATCACTAGTCTAACCTGTTTTTAAAAGCTTCCAGTGCTGGGAATTCCACAACCCTTCGGGCAACCTGTTCTAATGCTTAATTACCTCACAATGAGTTTTTCCCAATATCCAACTTAAATTTTCTTTGCTCGTTTTAAGCAATGAAAACTGCAGGCAACTTGTCCAGTTGCCTGCAGCCCACAAAATTGTTTATCATGATTCTCTGCATAACCACCCGTTAGGTATGCGAAGACTGTTATCAAATCCCTCCTTCATTTTACCAGACTAAATAGCCCCAGTTTCCAATCCAACCTTCTCTCACAAGTCACCTTGCCCAAAATGGTTTTTGTTCTCCACTTGATTCTTTCCAATTTGTCCACATCCCTCAAACAGTGACACTCAACCTTTTGGCCTCACAGGTCAGATAAGTGTCATAGGGCCTGTCTCTGGGATGGATTGGGCGCTAGGGCTTTGCGCTGCCCGCTCCCTGCCCTGTGCTGATATTGGGTCCTGGGGGCCCAGCACTACCCATTCCCTCTTCCTATGCACTGGGATTGGATCCCAGGGGCCTGGTGCCTAGTACCCTGCCCACCCCCTACATGCTGGGATTGGGTCCTGTAGGTCCAGCACCACCCATCTTCCAGCTCCCCACACTGGGATTGTGCCCTGGGGCCCTGTACCATCCCCACTTGCCTTTATTCACTAGGTTCAAGTACAGGACCTGGGGCTCCTTGTGGGTTTGGAAATTTAGCAGAAGAACATGCAGCCAAATTTCCAGGCCCATGGGGAGCCCCACAAGCTGGTTAACATAGTGCTGCAGGTCAGATCTGGCCCACAGCCTGGTGGCTGAGCATCCATGCTCCTAAAGAATGATGCCCAAATCTGGATACAGGACTCTAGGTAACATTTCACTAGTGATGAGAGTGAAAGAATCACTTCCCTTGACTTGTAAGCAATGCACCAGCTCATACCATTCAGCTTACTATTGACTTCTTGCCAACAAGAACACACTATATACTTATATTAAAGTTTATGGTCCATTCTCACCCCCAGGTCCTTTTCTGCAGTACTTCAACCTTGCCAGCTGTTCCCGTCGGTAAATGCAATTGGTCTATCTTAAAGTCAAGGACTTTGCACCTGTCCTTGAATTTCATTTGATTAATTTCAGACCATCTCTCCCATTGATCCAGGTCATTCCTAATCCTATCCTCCAAAACATCTGCAACTCCACCCACCTTGATACCACCTGCAAATTTGTTAAAGTATACACTTAATCCTATCTTCTAGTCTGGATCATTAATGAAGACAAAATACAGTAGCAGACCCAGGACAGACCGCTGGGATACTCCGTCATTGCCTCCTCCCCTTGTTTTAATCAGTACTAATGAATAATGAATTTGAAACAGTAAGTTAAATAATATTAAGTAGTAGATTTCAAATGTATTGTCACAATACTATGTTAGTATAGCAGTACTGCATCACAAGCATGAAATAATGCATGTTATAAAATAATGCAAAATAAAAAAATTCAAAGTGGAATTTCCCCCTAGTTTTTTTCTTAACTTAGAAAAAGAACAGTGGAAATGTCATCTAAATGGGTAAAATCATGTGAAAAGCTTTGATTTTTTTAACCAGATTTTTTTCCTGACCAAAAAAAGAGTCCAGACAAAGTCTTCCAGCCCAGCATTTCTCAGTACATAACCATGTCATGGAAAAATCACTCTTGTTAACAAGTTAAATGAAAACACTTGCAGACAAAATGGTGTTAGCAGCCAGGAGGGCTGTCCAGTTCATTTTCCTGCCCAATGTTGCAAGGAAGTTTATGCTATTTTTGTTTATATGCCAGGATTATCTCCTCCCCGCTTCTTCATCTGGGGATGAAAAATATCTTTCCAGTGTCACATTAACAGGCAATTTTGACCTACAACATAGGAAGATGCATTGGAAATTTCTCCATTACAAAGAAAGATGCTTCCCAAAACAAAGCTGTCTTGCTTGTAAGAACAACACATTTATACAAAAAACTTTTAGCTAATTTCCTCAAGACAGACACCCAAAATGTCACTGAACTGAGATATTGTATCTTAATATGCTTGAAGAGGAAGCTACTTCTCTGCTGATGACAGGAGAAATAATATAAAATAATTGTGCATATTTACCTGTAGCCATGATTACTGGCTTGAAAAATTATTAGGAGACAGTCTTGGCATTTCCTTACAGTCTCTAGGGAGGGATGTCAGCCAAAGACAAATTGAATTCACAGTAGTTAACAGCTGACAGAAGAGCCAGAAGGTTTGTTTGGCTTTAGAAATAACTAACTCTAGGATTAACAAAGTTCAGGCATTTCTTCTTTATTCTGCAATTACAGAATTATTACTACTGCCACCAATTTAAATCAGCAAGAAATCAAGATTAAACAGAACTGCCCACTCTGCCTTTAAAAGTGCATGTTGCTTGGAAATTCAATGAGAAAGCTAGCAAGTCTAACGGGAAATTAGTGCTCAGCAATTTATAGCTACATACAAAGAACACAGTCTGGCTTATATGCATATATTCTTGAAATACTTTGTATAGCTTTACTTTTGTCCATTTTATGCTAAGGTCAAAACAATGTAGTTTTTGATGCATGTCAGCCAGAGTGGCTAGTTAAAACTGGACAGACAGAAGATTTGTGTCCTTATTGTAATTAGAAACAAAGCAGTTCTATTTGTTTTTGCAAAGATGTTGCATAGGTTTTGTAAATTAGTTAGTGTAGAACTTTACAGAAAACCCACCATTTTAACTTTTACAGTCTAAATTCTCATTTAGTATAAACTCAGGTTTATCCTGAGAGGAAAGTAATGCAAATTATTTACTTACATTTTTCAGCTTCCTGCTATAGTCAATATTCCTGCATGCAATAAGAAAGAAAAAAAGGGGGGGGGAGGGTGGAAAATCAGAAAGCAGACACTTTCCAAGAGCATATATGCAGCAGATCACGTGTTTCCTCAGCATAAGCCTACAGGATGCTTCTGGTTGGAAACAGGAAAACTAAGACGATATGGTGCACTTATTTATTAGTTGATAATGCTGGATTATTTTGCCACCATGACCACAATCACTAAATTAGAATGCTTTCCCTGTAAAAGAAAAATAGGTTTGCAGCAGTCCCTCAGTAATGTAAGCCACTGCCAAGAGTGTTTCATTTATACAGAGCTGCTGATTTGGGGAAAAGGAGGCCTAAGCCCTGAAATCTACTCTATAATAATTCAAGGATTAATTTCTGCCCTGTAGTATGAAACACATAGGAAGGAACTACATACACAAAGGTCAAGGAAGAATTCAGCTCCAGATTTAAATACAGCAAGTCTCAATAGGAAAGTGAACATGCAGAGAGAGAGAGAGAGAGAGAGAGAGAGAGAGAGAGAGAGAGAGAGAGAGAGAGAGAGGAAACAGTAAGAAGACGCTGCAAAAACAGTCTTCTCTACTTCTCCTCTGTTGTAAGATGTAAATTCCTAAAGCAGAAAATGTATTTAGAATGTGCAAAGAGGAGAGCACTTTTCACACTAAGCCAATATACTCCTGGGCCAGATTTCCTCAACACAGCTGGAAGATTTAAGTTAGGAATTGTAAAGTATGAAGTTGGTTGTACAAACACAAACTACACCTCAGCTTTAATTTATGCTGGAGAAAGAAACTTTTTGTAGAATAGAACCTAGAGAAATGGATCTTGTTTGAATGTTGTACAAACAAATAAAAGTGGCATGCATTAAGCGGAGACTGTCCCCAGGCTGGTAATAAGCACTAACTCCATTAAATACTCTATTAAGTCAACTGAGTACATTTTCTCGCTGGAGAAATCAAAAAGGTCATACATTTATGTGAATATTGAAAGCCCAGAAAATGAAAAACATTCAAATAATTTTTCTTGATCCCAAAACTTGTGGCACATACATGCTAAGAAAGCTAAATGGTGTTCATACTTTTTCATACTAAAATTGCACTGGAAAAGAAAGTATAAGTAATCAACTCTGAAAATCTTTAAAGCATTAGATCATGTATTTTGTAGCTGGATAATCTAAAAATTGGACTAAATAGGGCATACTTCACTTAGAACACATAAGAAAGATACCTAAAAACTAAAAATACACTTTTATCTTAGTTATGTAGTGATGCCATAGGTTTATTTTTGTAACATTGAATTCACGCCATCATTGCTATAATAAACAAACACTGAAACTCACAGCAGACAGAGGCATAGGATTCTGTTCCTTGTTTTGACGTCTAGTTTACAGAAGACAGCTATGGACATTTTTCACTGAAAGAGTAATGAATTTGGCTTCCATATCTAGCTCAGTTGCCCACCATTAACTTGGAGATTGCAGGGATGGTGGTTGATTTCTACAGCTGCCTTGCTTGAAGGGTTTCATGAGTCAGCCATGCCAAATCAATCTACCATTGTGCTTAAGTGTGGGTTTTCCCTGGTCTCCACAGTTGCATCCTTTTGGTTTAACTCAGGGCTGTCTAACTTTGAAGCAGCTGGGGGCTGCATGTTGCACAGGCCATGTCAGCAAGCACCTCTGGGTTATACCTGCCCCACTGCACTGTGCACATGGGCAGATGCTCTCCCCCAGCACTACATACATAGGCAGTCCCCACCTCAAGTCCCTCACTGCCCTCTGCGGTGGGCTCCCACAGAGCCATGGCCTGTGCCACTCCAAACTCTGGTTTTAATTTTGAAAACTTGAATTTGTCTGGATAGCACTTGGGTGCTCTCAAGCCTACCTAGCTTTTACTATAAAAAGGAGGTAGAAATGGAGAACTCCTGAAATTTAGAAAAGTATGGAAACTACTGTGCTAACATGGATACATCGGATACATCTGAATAAGATTTAGTTAAAATAACCTTTGCAGTTAAGTGAAGCAAAGCAAAGCCCTTCACTCAGCTCAACAGCATTTCTTTGTCTGTAAAGCAATACGTTTTGAATATCACATCTGATCAATCCCCAGGTATCAGAGAGTGCTCTAGACAGCTGTGGGCAAAACACCAATTTCATGAAAATGGAAAAACCAGAAACCTCGATCTCCTCTGCTGTAAATGACAGGAAATTCTTGTTTGTTTTTAGTGCTCTCATTGCCCTAGTCTGTCTTGATGGGATGATCTTTGAAAGGAACAACGGCCCAATTGTTAGGGAAGAATCCTGGGATTTGAATAACCCAGGCTAAAATTTGTGCTGTCTCAGATTGTGTGGGGAGAGCTTGAACAAGTCACTCACTCACTCTGTGCCTCAGTTCTCCATCTGTAATATGGGATTAATATTTTCTAATTTCACAGAGATTTTGTGGATAAACACTGATAGCCAAGGATTAGATACACTTTATAATAAACAGAGGCCATAAAATTACCACTGTTGAGCAAATGTAAATGATTTCCTTAACAATTCAGCAGAACAGCTTTGCCTGCCAAAGTTCTTAGCATCTGTGTGCCACATTATAGGCTTCAGGAAAATCTTTCATGTTGTAATTTGTATTGCTCTGGCTGAATGTTACTTTTCATTCTCATAGTTTACACAAGAAGTCTCATGCCCAAATGAAAAACTTGGTAAGATTATTCTACAATATATTGTTCTCATCAGAAAATGAACTGTCTACACCTTTTTCTGCAGAGACTGTGGAGGCTTCTATCAGTTGTTCAAAATTACTGATCAGTCTCATAAAACATCTTGAAAACAGTTTAATTGAAATGGCAAGGCCTTTTTTCAGCCCACACAGCTCACTAATTAAACAGACAAGAAAATGTTATCATTCTAGATTGTTTGTTAACAGTTTATTTTTGTCTAAAGTAAAACAGGATTTTAAAGCATTCTGTTCAATCTGACTGACAATAAAGAAAAAATTCCCTCTCAGAGGAAGCAGCTAGTTTTGAACAAGATGGTCTAATCTTGACAACACCACGCATTCTGCAAGCTTAGTTCCTATGTTAGCTTTATGTAGATGCTGATATTCGTATACCTTTTAGTTCATTTTTTAATGCCTACAATTAAACTGCATATAACATGGCATTAAGACTGCCTATACATGTGCTCAGGGGCAGGTAGGGAGGGGTGTTTCAATTAAAGCTATTCCCAGAGAGCCACTCTAATTAAAACACCTCACCATCATGTGTATTAAGCCCCTGTGGGTTTAAAAATGGTCACAGAATGCTTTATCTAAATCTCATTCAACCCCTGCAGGGTCTTACACATATGATGATGAGGCCACGTGGAAGCATTCTAATTAGAATGAGGAACAGACTCAATAAATCGAGACTCCTCTGATGTGTTCTAATTAGAATGCAAGCCAACATGTGTATAGGCACTCTAAAGCTTTAAATACAAACTGCTGTTATACTTACTTGACTGTTACTCTATTTGATGCGTCTTGAAGATCTCCTGGATCAAAAAGTTGAGATTCTTTAAGACCCAGCTCCTTGCAGCCTCTTAAGAATAAGATGATATTGTCCTGAAATTAGACAAACAAAATTCAACTCTTCTTTAACACAGGAAATTCTCCCAATGAATCAACCCCTGGCACTCTGGCTGACCTAAATGAATGGATAATTCCCAGTGGCTTAACCCACCAAGTCTAGGCATTATAGAAGCATTATAAAAATCTCACTTTCTTTGACATTTCCAGAGGGAAAAAAACCTGCATACTTCATTTAAAAAGAAAAATCTGTAACAAAAAATAGTTCAAGTAGTTCTCTTTTGCAGGAATCAAACAGCAATATATGTCCACATACAAAACTGCTGTTAATTTCCAAATAGGTTATGTCAACTGCTTGCAACCCTTTAGCACATTACATAGTACCTGTCTAATGTTCAGTCTTGAAGCAACCAAGAAGAGAAGGCATGTAACAGTAAATCACTATTTTATGTATGCTGTTGATTTACAGCATGCTTTTGTGATTTGTATATTGTTAACTGCTCCTTGTTAGTATAATTAGCCCTTTCCTCCTTCCTCAGGTAGACAAAGATTAGGAGGAGAGAGCTGAACCCTTCTTCTTCAGAGGTGTCAAGGTGTAAAACTGCAACAAACAAGGAAAGACACCATAGGATTGGAAGGGACCACCCAGATCACTTAGTCCATTACTCTGAAACCTCAGATCTCCATGTAATAGATAACAAGTCCAAAAGTGTCCAAAAGAACACTCTTTCTAGACACTCTTAGGCATAAACCACAGAGCACTGGACTTTTTCATGACAAACTTAGGACCTTTTTGTACTAAAGAGCTGATCCTCATAAAGAACAATGTGCCCCAGGAGGAGAGCAGGAGAGATCAAGGACACTATCACAGGGATGCAAATCATTGGTAGTTAAGTAAAAACTGCACCAATCTAATTAAACCAGTGTTCATTCAGGGATATACACTCTTATGGAGACTTGAGAGGCTCGTTTTATTTTATCTTAAACCAATACATACAAACCTTTTCCAACCAAAATGAAAGTGAGCATACATGGATTAGTACTGATTAAACTAAGCCAAAAATGCACACCTTTTGGAAAAATACACCTCTAAAGTCATTGCAGACAAAGGATCAGCTGTAGCAGAACATCAGGAAAATCCAAAAGGGTTTGAGTGGGTGACTGAAGGTTGGATATGGGGTTAAAGACTGAAAGAATTACTTAATCTAAACCCTCATCTCTTCTGTACATTAAGATGACTTGTCACCTGACTAGCTGGAGGGAAACAGTGAAGCCATAAGGTATGCCCAATCATTAGAGAAGCATCTTGAATTTCAAAAATAAGCTAAAGGGGAAGAACGGCAAAAATCTATGGGGAGACAGAAGAGGAGACAATTTTTCACCTTGCCCTAAAGCCCTCCTCATCTACTGCTCTTTGAGGGGAAGCAATTATAGATTAGAGTTCTCAAAACTGTCATATTTGCTTGCGCCTGTGCTTACATTCCTGGGGAAAATCTACAAATAAGCACAAAATTTTTTTTATTTTTTTCCAGTGTACAGTGATCAACAAGTTAATTGGCTGGACACTTAGGACACCAACATGGGTGAACATGAAGCTGGTTTTACCAACTACATTACAAAATCTGGGCTCCAAAATTTAGAGAGGTCTAGGTTTCCCTCCACAGTTAATACCTCCCAGGGCTAACAGTTAATACCTCCCAGGGCAGCCAGGGGTAGAAGGATCAGCTCTTGCAGGAAAGAGTCTGACTCAGAGACATTCGTGGCATGAAAAGATGCTTGTAAAATTCCCATCTGTTTTGTAATTTCCATTAGTTTTTCCACAGTACTTCTAACTCAAACGTGAATAATACTGTGTCTTGCCTTTTAAACAGTATTGTGCATCTCCAAGTGCTGGGTGGCACAGTGTTCAAATATAATAAAAATGTAACAGCATTTAAAAAAAAAATTAAAAAAAAAATCAAACTTTTACAACAATACAGGTACTCCTTACTTAATGTCGTTCTGGTTAACATTGTCTTGTTATTACGTCACTGATCTATTAGAGAACAATCTCGTTTAAAGTTGTGCAATGTTCGGTTATAACGTTGTCTGGCTGTCACCTGTTAGTAGGTAACTATTGTGACGTAATTGGATTCATTTAACATCATTTAGCTTAAAGTCGCATTTTTCAAGAATGTAACTAGGACATTTAGTGAGGAGTAGCTGTATATAGAACAGATATACTAACAATGGGAAACAATGAAAGGGTGAGATACCTTTGGGGATTTTTAACAGTGCCCTCACCTCAAGGTGAGACATTCCAGTCCAACCTATGCCACCAGTGACCAACAATGGCTGTTTGGTGGCCGCTGTGAATACGGTTCTCAGTTCGCTTATTAATGGTTAAGTCTCAACATCACAAAGATCTACCATCAGTTCTACAGCTTGCTTTGTGTATGTCATTGTAGCGGCTGCCCCCATAAAAGTAACATTTGCCTTTAAACAGTATCTAAATTTATATCCTGCTTGGTAGCATTTCCAACTGTATGGACCTCTTTCCTGATTTGGCTCAGCTCTACTCAGTGTTATAGCTATTGGTTTTCTTAAACTGAATCTGCTGAAGAACATGAAAGAAAAGAGTCAAGAAATGAAGGTTTTATCTCTGAATTGTAAGAACTTTTAACGACCAAGTCATTTGATTTCTTCACCTTCTGAGAGATATTGCTCCCCTATATAACTAGAGGTGCTCCAAAGTGCAGCTTACAATATAATAATTATTTTTAAAACATCAAATGAAGATGTTAAATACACTCTTTTTAAGTCACAAACACCTGTAGGTTTAACACAGATGGGTACTAAAATGGGGAAAAATACATATTCTTTTTTAAATCCTCTTAAGTATAAAAATATCTAGAAGCTAAGTAAAATGTTGCAAACATACATAGGAGGATTAGAAAAATGTATTTTTAACAGTTTCAATATGAACAGCAATGTACAATTAATTTAGTGCATTTGGAGGAGATTGACTAACTGATCATCATTTGCAGGAAGGTAAAGTCACAAATGGGGTATTAGAATAGGTTAAAGAACAATCGTTTGATCAGGCTATATGCGCCTATAAAACAACAGTATTTAAATTCTGCTAGTTACTTTTGTTTTCTATTTATGAGACAAAATAGAATCATTTCAATCAAGACAACATCCTCTTGCCATTTGTCTCCTGAAATAAAGAGGAAAAGTAAAGTTAAGGGTTAAGCTTTTTTCATTTGCCAACTCATTGGATGTTAAACTAAGCAGATGCTTACTATTTATAAACCTACACAAGTTATAAACTGGCAGCTCATTGAAGACAAATATTTCAGAACAGCGACAAACACAGGATACAGATATATGATGCACTGCAAGTAAGAAGCAACAAATCCAACGCATGCCTGACAGAAGTCACTGGGCCTGCTGTTAGCAAACCTATATTGCTTATAAAGATTACACATTCAAGTTGCTAGTGTAAAAGTCGTGCTAGACTGACGCTTAGTTCAGACTGGAAAGGTTCAACCTGTATATGAAACATCACAAGCTTTAACAAGTGAAATTCAACAGTCATATTTCACTTTCATGAGGCAAAAACAGCCTCTCCACTTACTGTGCTCTGTTACGATAAAATTTTCCCACACACAGTGTGACCAGATGAATTACAAAATCCCTGTTCCTGCAGGAAATGGAAATGCATACTTCTTTAGAATACGCACCCTGTAAAGTCACTATAGAGTCAAACAGCAGCAGTGCTAACTCACAAGATATTGTACACCCGTGTGAATCAAATATTCACAGCAGGCAGGCTCTCGCCATAGTATTTTCTGATTGGATGCAAAGGCCAACAGCTTGAATTTGGCGCACCTCAGTCCTTTTACTTTTCACAAGTGCAAAACAAAATATTCACCTTGTCCTTACAATGCTGCCAGTTAGACCAGCAACTTCATGGAACTTGTTTTTGACAAATGTATTGGCAGGCCTGAGGTTATATATGTAGGGTAAATCACAAGGTGGTGGGCAATGCACAATAGACACCCACATAATGTCAGGATGCTGTGTCAAGTATAACACCCAACCACCTTCTAAATGATTGGCCATTACTTCCCAGTAAGCACTACTAGGTGTGAAGGTTTTTTCATAGTGGCAAATAACTGTAATTTGGAAATCTATTCTATTTTAGAATTAAAAAAATTAAAACCCTGCAAAATGAAATTCTAGAAATTTTGCAGTTCAGGCTGGTCATAGATTTCATAGATTACAGAGTCGGAAGGGACTGAATAGATCATCATGTCCGACCCCCTGCCCCTGGCAGGAAAGAGGACTGAGGTCAGACAACCCTAGCCAAGTGACTGTCAGGCCTCCTCTTCAAGACCTCCAAGTTCGGTGATAGGACCACCTCTCTTGGAAGCCCATTCCAGACTCTAGCCACCCTTATTGTAAAAAAATTCTTCCTAATGTCTAACCTAAATCTACTCTCCACTAGTTTGCACCCATTACTCCTAGTTACTCTCTGGGGCGATCTGGTAAACAGCGCATCCCCAATTCCCTGCTGTCCTCCCCTGATAAATTTATAGGCAGCCACAAGGTCACCCCTCAGTTGTCTTTTGTATAGGCTGAAGAGATTCAGATCTCTCAAACTCTCCTCGTAGGGTCTTTCACAGAGACCATTAATCATGCGGGTGGCCCTCCTCTAAACCCTTTCCAGATCCTCCGTGTCCCCTAGAAGTGCGGCACCCAAAACTGGACACAGTACTCCAACTGCGGCCTGACCAATGCCACATAGAGGGGGAGCATCACCTCCCTCAATCTGTTGGTCATGCATCTGCTAATACACGACAAGGTCCAATTGGCTTTGTTGATGGCCTCGTTACACGGCTGGTTCATGTTCATCTTGGAGTCAACTATGACTCCAAGATCTCTCTCAGCCTCTGAGCTGCTGGGGAGGACATCCCCCAACCTGTAGGTGTGCTGGTGATTCCTCCTTCCTAGGTGGAGTACCTTACATTTATCTTTGTTGAATTACATCC